TCTTCAAGTGGTTTAACTGGAAACATAGCAGCTGCCATCCAAAACCTTACGCTGCTTGAAAAACTGTAAGCTTGTCCATTGTTATATATATGCGAAAAAATTGGCTGTCATTTTCATAATAAATTATCTCCTGCAAACTTCAGGGACTTGTCGAATAATAACTTGACCGGAGAGGTGCCAGAGTTTCTAGGCAGCATGAAATTATTGTTGGTCATGTAAGTTTCTCTCATGCAGATAATCTAGTGCCTTTTAAATTCTACCTCGTATTCATTTCTCTTTTCATGCAGAAACTTAAGCGGGAACGATCTTAATGGTTCAATTCCTCAATCTCTGCAGAGGAAAGGACTTGTGCTACTGTAAGAATCATCCCACATATTTTGTGAGCTTTTCTCTGTTACTATCCACAAGCCTTTTATTGATTTGGTGTCAATATTCAACACTTGTCTTCTTGTAGTCTTCAAGGAAACCCAAGGATTTTTCCCTCTGGTTCACCCACAAAACGACAAGGCAAGAGCGTTGTAGTTCCCGTTGCTGCATCGGTTGGTTCTGCAGCCATCCTCATTGCCGCATTGGTTCTGTTTCTTGTTCTCAGGAAGAAAAAGCCATCGAATGTTGAAGGTATATATGCAAGAGAGACATATCAAATGAGAAAACGGATAAATCTCATGAATATGATTTTTTTGCTAACTCCTAAACTCTGATCTAGCAGTTGTTCACCGGCCACCGAGTAAGCCAACAGTGAATGTTCCATATGCTTATTCACCTGAGCCATCGATCGAGACGAAAAAGAGAAGATTTACTTATTCAGAGGTTATGAAAATGACAAATAATTTCGAAAGAGTCGTAGGGGAAGGAGGATTTGGCGTTGTCTGTCACGGTACTGTCAATGGTTCTGAACAGGTAGCTGTTAAGCTGCTATCTCAATCATCAACACAAGGCTACAAAGAATTCAAGGCGGAGGTATTTGTGGTACAATCTTTCCAGCTAGTACATGTTGATAACATCACAAGAGCTTATGTATTTCTTGGTTTTCTTTTTGCATGAGTGCATTAGGTTGATCTTCTTCTGAGAGTTCACCACACGAATTTGGTTAGTCTTGTCGGTTATTGCGATGAACGAGACCACTTGGCCCTCATCTACGAGTTTGTACCTAATGGAGACTTAAGACAACATCTGACAGGTAAAACTGGATGTAACATATCCTTAATGGTTTCATTTGTGTCGTGAACTCATGAAAGCAGTTGTTCTTCCCAAAAAACTTGAAAGTATCTAATGATCTAACACACAGGGAAAGGAGGCAGATCCGTCGTAAATTGGGGTATTCGTCTAAGAATCGCTGTGGAGGCAGCACTAGGTTCGTTCTAAAAGTTAAATCGTAGAACAAGAATTGATGTTGATTGGTTTTACAATAAGAAGCTAATAAGGATGAATCCATCGCATAGGTCTGGAGTACTTACACATTGGATGCACACCACCAATGGTTCATAGAGATGTCAAAACTACGAACATATTGTTGGACGAGCATTATAAGGCCAAACTCGCTGATTTTGGTCTCTCGAGGTCTTTCCCAGTTGGAGGCGAAACACATGTTTCCACAGTGGTTGCTGGTACTCCTGGTTACCTTGATCCAGAGTAAGCATTTATACTTAAAACTTCACAATGTGCAAAAGTTTTATTCTCTTCTCCACTGCTTGAAGAGTATACCATGTTCTTGCCTTGTATAGATATTACCAGACAAGCCGGTTGGGTGAGAAGAGCGATGTGTACAGTTTTGGGATTGTGCTGTTGGAAATGCTCACAAACCAAGCAGTGATTGATCGAAACCGCAGAAAGTCTCACATAACACAGTGGGTTGGGTCTGAGCTTAACGGAGGAGATATTACTAAGATCATGGATCCAAAGCTTAACGGGGATTACGACTCTCGCTCTGCCTGGAGAGCGCTTGAGCTGGCAATGTCGTGCGCGGATCCAACTTCGGCAAAAAGGCCAACCATGTCTCATGTTGTTGTCGAACTAAAAGAGTGTCTTGTGTCTGAAAACTCGAGGGGAAATATGAGCCGAGGCATGGATTCACTGAGTTCCCCTGAAGTGAGCATGATCTTTGATAGTGGGATGATTCCTAGAGCAAGATAGTGTGCGCTGCAAGTAATACGACCAATAATGAAACCACTGAACGAACTTGTGGCTTTGACCTGTCGTATCCTCTCTTTGTATTTTGAGTGCCGCCGTTAGGTACTTTTGTTATTGTGGTTTTAAAATTTTTATTTTGAAGTAATAAAATAGTTACTGTATCGTTGGTGTTGTATATTTTGGTGGTTGATATAGTTACTGTATGAAGGGAAAAGTAAATGTTGGAATCCCGTTTTCAGTTGATATACAAAAAAACTCGTTGATGTAATAAATTTGGTGATATATTATGGTTGATATACAAAAAAACTCGTTGATGTTACTCTCTTGATTTTGGATTTATCATTCAGTTTAGTGCTCATTATATAAAAAATCTAGATTTTGCTCATTATCCAAAAAATCTAGTACTCATTATATAAAAAAAGAGCATGAAATTGAATGATAAATCCAAATCTCATAATCCAAAATCTAGTGCTCATTATATAAAAAAATCTAGATTTTGCTTTTTTCATTCAGTTTTTTTTTATATAATGAACACTAGATTTTGGATTCGCGCACTTACACGAGTTTCTTTTTATAAAATATTTTTGGACCATAACAAAAATCAGTTTATATTAAAATTTTGTTCAAAAAAAGTCTAACTTATATTATTAAATGCAAAATTGTGGTCCAAACTGAATTTTTTATTAGATTACATAAACTATTTTTACATTTTTGGTTTTATGTTCTTAAAACTATGTAGGCTTAATTTTATAAAAAAAAATATTTTGATTAGCGGATTTTCTGTTAAATTTTGCAACAAATATTTTAGAACATTACGTTTTATAAAGCAACAGAGATTTGTTTGTAATTAAGATTTCAATATTTACTTAGGCTTTGTTTTTTTTGCATCTGATACTTATTTGGATGCAAATGCACAAATATTATTTTTAAAAAATATTTTTAAACCAGGATATGGATGTTGTATCTGGATACAAAATCTATAATATCTCAAAATTTGTATATTTTTAAAATACTAAAAAATAGATTTTGAATGCAGTATTTGAATCTTAAAAAATAAAAGACCAAAACATCCTTACAAAATCAAGTTATTTTTTGGTCAAAATCATAAAATCAGAGTTTTCTATCAAAATAAAAGTCGCATTTTCTCGCAAAATTCTAAAATCACGTTGTTATACCAAAATCAGAAATTCTCGTAGAAACTGTAAAAATAGTATTTTCCATCAAACCGTATTTTTCTGCCAAAACTGTAAACCCACACTTTTTTAACAAAACCAAAAATTATGTTTCCTTCAACACCATAAAACCGTACTATATGAACAAATTTATAAAATTACGTGTTTTAGTTAAACCTGCAAAATTGCGCTCTTTTGTCAAAAGTCAAACCCGTAAATCTGTATTTTTAATAAAATCCATAAAATTATATTTTTCCATCAAAACCTATAAAACCCGCTAAAACATGTAAACCTCGTAAAATCATGTTTCCCGTCAAATCCACAACAAACCTGTGTTTTCTGTAATATTGTAAAATCCGTAAAATCGCGTTTTATTTATGCATATTTTCTAAACTCATATGTTTCTGCCAAACCTGCAAATCGAGTTTCCAAACGCACAAATCCGCATTTTTCCATATGACTAGATATTTTTGTTAAAATTTGTATAACTCATAAAATCCGCAAAATTATGTTATTCGCATTCTGCAAACCCGTGTTTTCCTGTAATTCCTCTAAATTTGCAAAATCGTGATTACGACCAAATTTCTAAAATCATGTGTTTCTGCTAAATCTACAAAAGCATATTTCTTGTCAAACCGGCATTTTCTCGTAAAAATATATTTTCCGCTAAAACTTATAAAATCCACTAAAACTTGTTAAACACTTAAAATCAACAAAATTGTATTTGTCAAATTTTCAAACCCATGATTTCCCACAAAAAAATAATTAACAAACCAAGAAAAAAAATTATTTAGATAATATTTTTTATAGTATGTATATATGTAACCAAAAAAATAATGATTACATATTCATTATTGACTATAAATTGTCACATTTAATAATATATCATAGTAGCTTTTAGATATTTTAAAGTAGTGATTTTTCTTTTAATATTATAGAGAAAAATGATTATAATATAATATATATAATTATATTAGTTATTCATGATATGTATATGCAGTAATTATGTTAAGATATTATGAAAAACTTTAAAACAATTTCGAATAAATTTATTTGATTTTTATTAGTATTAGATATAATTTATTGATATTATCTGTTAACAAATTAATTTAATGCATTTGTTAACAGTTTAATGATATGACAAAATTATCCTTAATAAAATGATTGAATTTTCTAATGAATCCAATGACACATTTAGTAAATACTATAGTAGCTTTTAGAATTTCAAATTAATAATTCTCTTTTAATAGTATGTTTTTGGAATATTACTGATTTAAATACACGGCATATGAAATAGTTTCGATCAATCGTGGAGATAACTAATATACACGGCATATAAAAAAGTTTCAAATAATTTGTTGGCGCAAATTTATTTTCCGGGTTTTAAAAAATTGGCGCTTCATACCCTAATTCATGGCGCCACATATAAAAATTAAAATGATTCTTATTGGCTAACACAGCCACTACGCGGATCACTTGTATGCACCGTTGATTAAAATAAATCGACGGTCGATACATCTTTTAGCTCTATACACGGATCGATAGCTCAGCCGTTAGATCTACTACGAGATCTAAATTTCTCAAATTATATGGTTCCCGTCTTGTCTATATAAATCAATTTCACATCCGCTTCTCACTACAATTCAATTTCTTCAGCAATAAATTTTCTCGAGAAAGTCCCAATTTCATTCAGAAAAAATGTCGGGTCGCGGAAAGGGAGGAAAGGGTTTGGGGAAAGGAGGAGCGAAGCGTCACAGGAAGGTTCTGAGAGACAACATCCAGGGAATCACCAAGCCGGCGATTCGGAGGCTTGCTCGCAGAGGTGGAGTCAAGCGTATCAGTGGTCTCATCTACGAGGAGACACGTGGTGTCCTCAAGATCTTTTTGGAGAACGTGATCCGTGACGCCGTCACCTACACCGAGCACGCCAGGAGGAAGACGGTGACTGCCATGGACGTCGTTTACGCGCTCAAGAGGCAAGGAAGGACGCTCTACGGTTTCGGCGGTTAAGAGTCTCTTAGATTCGGGGTTTGCGTTTCTGGGTTTCTGGAAATTTCTAATCAAATCATCTTCTCGCGTTTGCGTTTAAGTTCGTTCTGGGTTGTGTTTTCCGGTAGCGTTTCCGTTTTATGTAATTAGGCCTTATCTTTTGATTTAGCGATTTCAATGTCACTGTAATCCACGATTAAGTACAAGTTTAAGAAGAAGTTTAATCGAATCTTATTTCAGTCATCATCTATGCGAACCCTCCATTACTCCTCATTACTTCTTAATTGACCTAATTTAAATCGTATCTTTCACAATTGGGGATTTTGCCGCCGCGTACAATGATTTGCGATTAGAAATAGTGGAAATGTCTACAAATATGCGTAAGAGATGACATGAAACTGAGCGTATGAATTCAAATCTGAAATAGACGGTGGTTGAAAATTAAGAATTAACTATTCAAGCGACCGGTGATTTCCCGATGAGGCGGCGACTAAGGCTATTGAAGAAAAAGGAAACCGAAACGACGTGGGATCGTAGATTGGTACGATATGGTGGTAAACCGGATAACTATTGTTCAAAGATATAAACCGGTATTGACTTGTTAAGATGTAGCAGCTGATGAACAACACATTGGTTGGACGGAAATCATCATCTAAGAAGCAGCTTAAACAAGTTTAGACAACTCCAGAATCTAATTCGAACTCTATGAAGCTATTCGAGTTTATGAATCTAAATTTTATTCGATTGTTTACTAAATGAAAATCTCAATCTAATCGTTAATCATATACAGTAGAAAAGCTTGATCAGAAAGAAAAAAAAAGAACCTAAAGTTGTGGTTCTAATTAGTAATAATATTTTAGTTTTTTCTTCTGGAAATTAGTCATCTCCCTATCGTCCTTCAGATTTCACCAGCTGCGAGAAAACTTTACTCATGGAAACACCTGAAAGATCATCAACACTCGACTCTTCTTCTTCTTCGTACCGTCCCTTTCTGGCTACAGCAACGTTAACGCTCGTGTCTCCTTGGTTGTTGTAATCATTAAACCGTAAAGGCAACTCACCAATCATGTTCGTGCTGTTATCTTCTTCTAAATCACCATCAACAACAGCTTCTTGCAGCTGCAAAGCATACTCAAGATTCCACAACACATCTCCCATCGATGGCCTATCCACTCCATAATCAGCTAAACATTTCTCCCCTGTTTCACCGAACTTCCTAAGCGAATCAGGTATGATCTTACCCCGCAACGACTGATCAATTACCTGTTCAAGCTGTCCTTTCTTCTGCCATTTCATCGCCCATTCCGCAAGATTCACCATCTCTCTAGGAAGCGTCGGGTCTATAACGGGCCTCGCGCAGAGAACCTCGAACATAACGACTCCGAATGAGTAAACGTCTGATTTCTCCGTGAGCTGTTGCCTTCTGAAGTACTCAGGGTCGAGATAACCAAAGCTTCCTTTCACCGCAGTACTCACATGCGTCTGATCAAGATCCGGTCCGGTCTTGGACAGTCCAAAGTCTGCAACTTTAGCCATGAGTTTCTCGTCCAGCAATATGTTAGCTGACTTCACGTCTCTGTGAATCACCGGTTTGGAGTCACCGGTGTGGAGATAATGCAACCCCCTAGCTGATCCAATACATATCTCGAGCCGCTGTTTCCAGCTCAAGCTAGGAAGACCCGAGCCGTAGAGATGGCTCTTCAATGTTCCGTTCTCCATGTACTCGTAAACCAGGATCATCTCGTTGCTCTCGTCGCAGTAACCGATCAGAGAAACCAAATGGCGATGACGGAACTGAGACAACATCTCGATTTCCGTCTTGAACTCCGCAAGTCCTTGCTGAGACTTGGGGTTCGCTCTTTTAACAGCTACTTTCGTGCCATTGTGAAGCTCTCCTTTGTACACTTTACCAAAACCGCCTACTCCAATGACTCGGCTCTCATCGAAGCTATTCGTCGCCTCTTTCACCGCTGCCAAGGGGATTCGGTAACTGGAATTGGAAGCTGCACTTGTAATTGTAGTTCCACTGGAGGAGCCTGAAGTTACTCCAGCGGTGGACAAAGGAATCCAAGTCTTTGAGTGACCATCTCGGCCTCCTCGACCTCGTTTCTTGATCAGCAAAAAGAGACCTCCAAAAACCACTAAAGCAAGCAAAGAACCAACCATTGCACCAACTATCATACCGACGTTCTTCTTCGTGGTCGAACTCGATGACCCACCGGGTAAAAACGTTCCGGTACTGAGCTGACTTTTGGAGTTGTTTATCTTCATGATCTCTAATCCGTTCAAAATCGCAGTAGGGTAGTTCGTGTGAACATAGGATCGACCAAGGCTCACACGGATTCTACCAGTCTGTTTTGCTGAACCCGTGACATAATCCATCGAGTATGCAGCAGCCAAAACGTTGAATGTATAAGTGCTTAGATCAAGATTCTCGACAACCATCATCGAGTCAACAAAAAGATTGAAGTAGAGCTGGTTTAGAGAACTGCTCACAATGTCGCAGAAGTGAAACCGGAGAAAGTACTGAAAACCCACGTCAACATCGAAATCCCACGTCACGTTGAAATTGCTAGCCGGGTTATCCCCGGAATTCATCTCGGAGCAAGTACCATAGACAGTTCTTGGAGCGGTTTCCTCTGTAGCATAACCGGGAACGTAATTAACACTAGCGATCTTAGAGACACTCGTCACTAGATTCTTCTCGATAAGAAACTCCGAATCTGGCTCCCAAGTCCTCGAGAGAGTGTCGTTAGAAGGCGTTACACGCGGGCCTCCCATGTTTAGTCTATGAACCGTCTCGAGAGCTTGCCATGACAATCCCTGAAACTTCCCTGGACTGCCTGCGAACGGAGGCTCACCGTTGATCAGTGTATCAGGAACCGACACAACCTCGAGGGCGTTCACAAACGCGAACGAGTTCCCCGAGGGTGTGAACGTGAGCTCGAGATTCCCCGTTGCTACTTTCAGATAATACTCCTTCATGACTCTTGACTTCGCTGTGAAGTCATTCAAGAGGACATGCGTCTGCGAAGAAACTGAGAATTGGGCTGAGCCCATTTCGAAGTTTTGGTACTGGAAAGGGCTGAAATGGAGACGAACCCAGTGTCGGCCACGAGCGACGGAGAATGTGTACTTCGAGGTTCCGGCGAAGATCCTCGCCGTCTGGTAAATATCTGAAACGGAATTGCGGTTACTCGCGGCGAGGATTTCGTTGGGAGAGGTTAGGTGGCTTGAGGCAAGCTGATCGGAGATGAACACTCGACCAGTTACAGTGGCATTGGTGTGTGATCCACAGTTGATGAGGTAATTATCCACAGGTACGTATCCATGGCATAGACAGATTAAGCAAGAGATCGACGAAACCCAGATCAAAAATCCAAACTTTTCACCTCCCATCTTCACAAAACCTGGAATTTTTACACAATTCGGTTGAAAACAGACCAACAAAAATCTATCAGCTAGATTCAAGGGATACTGTAAGAGCAAAATTAGGGGTTTGTTTAAGCAAAGATGACAACTTTCTAAGTTAAATAACGATTTTCGTAACGGGCTGATAAAATTAAGTAGCAAAAGAACAGTATTTACCTTTAAGACAAGAAATCCAGGAAAAGTAATCGTTCCATCGAAGGTAAAAGTTGGGGGATCAGCTCAGATTTTGGGTTTTGTTTTTCTTAAAAAACTGTGTTTGGAGCTTAACACAGGTTCGAGTAGACAACAAGAGATGACTTTTTTTTGTGAACTCTGCAAACATGAATATATTGATTTTAATATATGTAGTTGAACCGATTCGAAGGCACTGAAGTTGCCTGAGAAATGGACGAAGGAATTGAATTGTCAGTCTGATTTTTCTGATGGCTAAGAAAGTTAGGAAGAAGACGAAATTTTCCCTAAAAGTTATTACCATAAAAAAACTGCACAAACGCAAGTGGTATGTTACATTTACCGCTTTAAATGTGTCAAGAAAATAACAATGCCTGTAACTTTTTCTCCTCCACAACAATTACTATTTATTCCTTATTTTTATTGTTATAATTGTCGTTTTTGTAGATGATGCGTCGTCACTCCCGAGTCCTAAACTAATACACTTTATGATAAAGTTTATAGGACTTTTTGTCTTTTGTTTAAAACAAAAAAGAAGGTAGTGGATGTTTGAACGAAAGTCAGTATTGCACAAGAATATACCAAACTTCCAACCGTATTTATGAAGACATGAAATTTTCGGTGTCTGTTCATGCTTCAGTGATAGATTGTCATCAATACACTATTCCATGTTTGCTCTGTTACAAAAAAAAAAAAAAAACTTATATGTCCAAAAGATCTAAACATTTGATAATAAATGAAGAATGACGACATTAACCACCCCACTATTCTTCTCTACATGGAAAATGACATATAGTATAGTTTATTTGGAAAGAATGGTAAGATCAACACTAAACCTAAAGCCTAAATCAAATATTTAAGAAAAAGTTCAAAAAAAAAAAAGAATGGTAAGATCCCACAAGAAAAATTTCCTTGCGAGTTGGGAATTTATAATATAACTCTTAAATATCAAACCTCAAAACTCAAAAGACACCCATGAACTGTGGTGGACCTCTTGTGCCGACGAAAAAAAAAGAAGACACATTTAGTTCCGACAATGGGAACGTGGAAACAACAATATCATAAATTTTGTTAATCCTACTTGAAATGGCTGGCTAATCGATGGCTTTTTTCAAAGTCTTTTAGGTCTCATTTATGATCGTGTGGTTACATTTTTGATTCTTATTAAAAAAAAAAGCCTTCGTTAAATCGAGTAGCACACATCTTGTCGTTTTGTTCTATATCTAGCAATGCATTGTGGTTTTCATTAACGCTTGGATTCTAATACAAATTCGCCGTTCTTCACTTTTTATGTAACGCACTTAACATCAAGTTGTCAACAGTTTCATGATACAATTCCTTCATAAAATCGTAAACTTTTCATTTTGACGTAATATTATGAATCTCTATAAGAAAGTGTGATATGCGATTAAAATATTTGTTTTAAAAAAATTGTGAGAATATTTTGGTTTTCTTTTGGGATTCAATTCGATGCAATTAGATTTATATCCAAACGTAAATTATAAATTAGCCAATCGAAGAATATTTGAATACGAATTATCTATATGCATCCACATGGGTTTTATCAAAACAGACACGAACGAAACAATTTGTTTGTGATCTTAAAGTTAAGAACTTAATAACTTGAACTAACGAAGACTAACAAAAAGACTGGCCTGTTCGACTGGGCCCAAACATTTGGTCTGTAAGTTAAAATATTTTTTGAGCTTTTCCTACAAGAACACTCTTACTTATCCAGAGGGTTTTGTGGGACCCGTCGTGACCTCTGATAGTTCCCTCCATCACCAATCATTCGGCAAAAAATATTATTATTTTTTTCCCCTTTTATTTTATAAATGTTTTTTCGATCCCATTTTCTAAATCTTGCTCGTTCTCCTTCCCTATATCCGTTTTCGATTTAGGGCACCAATCTCTGAAAAACAAAAACAAAAATCAAAATCTCCGCTCTTCCCAATCAAACGAATCACCATAAATCTTCTTCGTCCCCCTTCGGATTCTCAATCCTCTCTTGATTCGTTTCCAAGGCTTGCGAATTGCGCAGTGCTATCCTCTCTACCCCTCCATACGCACCCTTCTCCTTGAACTGTGAGTGTTAACCGGAAAACTCGCGATTTTTAGGGTTTTCGGAGTTCAAGTTTTGTTAACTTTACTATTTAAATTACATCGGGATAGTTGAATTGAGAGTGGTCCGGTGTTGCTCAGTCTGTTTTACCGGATTAGCTATTGATTACAAGAGTGGAATTACGCTTGCGTTGATTTGATTTTTAATTGGATCCTCGTGATTTTTGATAGTTTTACATTTGTTTCTTACTCTGAATCTTCTCCACGACATTTGATTTCCTTCTAGAAGCTCTTTTTTCCATGGCTGCTGATTCATTAACTCCCCGTCGATGTATTGATTTGCCTGTATATAGCCGATCTTCTTATTTCTGGATGAACAGTATGTAGTTACACAGTGAATTCCTCTGGTGCTGCACCATGTTTATGAAGAATTATGTTAAATATTGGTTCCTGTGTTAGTTCATTTTGGTGTGAGTTTTTTCAGCTTTGTTGAACTTTTCCTTCTCAGGCTACTAATTCGTGTGCTTTGTATATTCAGCTTTCGTTCACGTCTTGTCGCCGAATGAAATTTTGTCTCCCGTGATTGTCAGCTCGTGCAATGTCAAACCTACATGTATGCCTTCCTTTTTCCCCTAAGAATATGTTTTTATATGTTTTTTGAACCTTAAGAATATATATTAGTGTCCTTAGGATATCGGTTGCATAATTTATGTGTACCATGTCTCACTCTCATCTATCAACTCTTGTGTTCTTGCCTTCGCAGTCATCTCTCAACGGTTCAGCTTCGAATTTACCAGATGGTTCGGGCAGATCTTTTGCTGCTTCCTATTCTGGACAGTCTGGTGCACCCTCTCCCGCTTTTCATCATTCTGGTGGGTGTGATACTTATCTTGACACCCTGCGTATGTTTTGCTCTGTTCTCAACTTTTCACCATTTTTTTTTTCATTATGCAGGAAATCTCCAGGGACTTCATAATATTCATGGGAGCTTTAATGTCGGGAACATGCAAGGTACACTTTCATCAAGAAACTCAAGTATGAATAGTATACCATCTGCCGGGGTACAACAACCTAATGGGAGTTTTTCCAGTGGAAGATTTGCTTCGAATAACTTACCTGTTGCTCTCTCTCAGGTGCGTGTGGTGATAGTTTGTGAAAACAACTGCTTTTGCTCTTAATCTGTGATGTCTCATATCATACGATGGTTGTTTTTGTAGTTGTCTCATGGTAGCTCTCATGGGCATTCGGGAATCCCAAACAGAGGTGGTATTAATGTTGTTGGCAACCCTGGATATAGTAGTAACGCAAATGGAGTTGGTGGCTCTATTCCTGGGATCCTCTCCACATCTGCAGGACTCAGTAATCGGAATAGTGTTCCAGGGATGGGAATATCCCAATTGTTGGGAAATGCAGGTACACGTATACCAAATTCGATGGGAAACATGGTTGGTGGAGGTAACTTGGGGAGGAATATTAGCTCTGGTGGATTGTCTATCCCTGGTCTTTCTTCGCGGCTAAATTTGGCAGCTAATAGCGGATCAGGATTAAATGTTCAGGGACAAAACCGAATGATGGGTGGAGTACTTCCCCAAGGTATGTATATATGATTTATCCAGTTGTTTCCATTTAGAGTCTTTGGGGTTCTTTTGCCCACAAGTAGATACATGTGAGCCTTGTTTATCTTGTTGTTATATCATTGTCAACGAAAACAGAGTATAAATTTTGCTGCATGGAGGACACCTTTTTATATGATTATGGCTCTTTGGTGTAGTAACTAGGAAGTGCTGTTGACTTAAGTTAAGTAAGTATTTTGCTCAATTGCAACTTAAAATAAGTAGTTGTTTAAGGAAGGAAGTATATCAGCAGTTGAACTTGTTTTGCTGTTGTAGTCTTTACTTCTCCAGAGTCATGTGAGTATGATCAAATGTAGAGAAGACAGGCTTTGTTTTCAGCTCACATTGTTTACTTAGCAGCTGATGTATGTGATATAGCAGTAAAAATCTAATTTCAAAATTGTATGGTACAGGGTCACAGGTCATGTCTATGCTTGGGAATTCCTATCATACTGGTGGAGGCCCACTTTCACAGAACCATGTTCAGTCAGTTAACAATATGATGCTCAGTGATCACTCTAACGACAGTTCTCTTTTTGACATCAACAACGATTTCCCCCAGCTGACAAGTCGTCCTGATTCTGCTGGTGGCACCCAAGGACAACTTGGTAGTCATTTTATCTGAAGATCTTTTGAAACTCGTATACTTAATAACAAAAGAATTATGTTTCCGTTTTATGTCGTGTTCCCTCATACTCTTGTGGTGGGGTTTTAACTTTTAGGATCTTTGAGGAAACAAGGTTTAGGAGTCCCAATTGTCCAACAGAACCAGGAGTTCAGCATCCAAAATGAAGACTTTCCAGCTCTACCTGGATATAAAGGTGCTGGTCTTTTATTGTATAACTTTGTATTGTACTTGCATAAAAGTTGAGTATTGCATATTTTATGTGTGCAAAGTGAGGAATATCCTCTCTAGTTTCCCCTATTGTGAAAAGTTTCTTCTTGTGCTATTGTCTAAAATCTCATGAAAATGCATTCCGGATGTTCTAAATACTTACGAAGTTTATGCATTCATATTATAGCTTATTGTGTCATAAAGATGAAAAGATGGTCCCGACATATATGTTCTAAACGCTATAAGCTAAACCTGATGGATCATTCACAAGCGTAGTAGATTTTTTGCAGGTGGTAATTCTGAATATCCTATGGATTTGCATCAAAAGGAACAACTCCATGACAGTGCTATGTCAATGATGCACTCTCAAAACTTTTCTGTAAGCTCTAGACTGTTTCGAAATGAAGATAATGTTTTGTTGCCTTTTTCAATTGATATGGTTATTGATGGGGTAGTTTATGTATGGATATTGCATATTTGCAGATGGGTAGATCTGGTGGTTTCAACTTGGGAGCAACATATCCATCACACCGTCCGCAACAACAGCCGCAGCATACTTCATCTGTGAGTGACAGTCTCGCGTATCCTTATTTGAATTGAAGCCAGGACTTTCTTCAGATTGCTTATCTCATATATATAATTCTTAATTTGATACCAGACTGGTGGGCTACAGGGTCTTGGCTTGAGACCTCTAAGCTCTCCCAATGCAGCTTCCAGTAACGGTTATGAGCAACTTATTCAGCAGTATCAGCAGCACCAAAATCAATCCCAGTTTCCTGTGCAACAAATGTCATCGATGTTTAGAGATTCCGAGATGAAATCGGCGCAGTCAGAGGCAGATCCTTTTTGCTTACTTGGCTTGTTAGACGTACTAAACAGGAGCAACCCTGAATTGACCTCTCTTGCTCTTGGCATCGACTTAACGACGCTAGGATTAGATTTGAATTCGACTGGTAATCTCTACAAGACATTTGCTTCCCCTTGGACCAATGAACCGGCAAAGACCGAGGTCGAGTTCACAGTACCAGATTGTTACTACGCCACACCACCTCCGCCTCTAACTGTAAGTTTCCTCTGATCTTCTGAGAAGCACTAACAATGTATTGTGTCGCTCCTTTTATCGATTTTGTTAACAAATGTGTTATCATGTCCGTTGGTTGCAGCGAGCAAGTTTCAAAAGGTTCACCTACGAGTTATTGTTCTACACATTTTACAGGTCTGTCGAAAGACCAGCATTTCTAAATCTCATTTGCCAAGTCATGAATTATCTTTATCCAATTTAACACTTTACTTTGCTCTAACTATTGTTCCAGTATGCCCAAAGATGAAGCACAGCTACACGCAGCAGATGAACTGTATGGGTTTTTTTTTCCTTCTCTGCTACCATAATCTTTGATTATTCGTTTACTCGGCTGTCTTGTGCTGAAGTTTTTTGAGTTGGAATGATATATTGCAGTTACGAAAGAGGTTGGTTTTACCACAAGGAACTCAAATTATGGTTCTTCAGAGTTGGAGAACCTTTGGTGAGAACAAGTGGATACGAAAGAGGAACATATGAATGCCTCGATCCAAACTCGTTCAAAACAGTCAGAAAGGTAAATCAATGATTATTTGGGTAGTACATGTATATATATATATCTTGATATACTTGAATTTGCAGTATATCTTATATGTATATTAATATGTTTTCGGGGGATGGCTATTGCAGGAACATTTTGTTGTCCATTACGAGGTCATGGAAAAGAGACCAAGCTTGCTGCAGCATTGACTTCTTCGTAGGTTTGTTCAATTAGTAGCATCTTTACAATGTAAAGCTTTTTCTCTTTTTCTTCATGCAAGCTCCATTGTTTAGAAACCAAACCATATTTCACATTTTCAAATTTTCCCCCATAAAAGGTAACAACAACAGTTCATTTTCATTTTCTACGTCTTTCGATAGATTTTTCTTTAGTTCCGTCGTCCATGCATCATGACAGAACGAATAAATAACTTGATGTTGGGTCGCAATTAAGAAAAAAAATACAAGAGCTACTTTTAGGCCAATGTAGATGTTTTTCTTAATTTAGGGTCATTATCATGATGGGCCTTTATCAAAGGTCATCTTCACTGAGCCCGTATCTCAAGGGAGATAGATGCTATACCATATAGAACACACAAAACGACACGCTGTCTATGTGTCAACCAAGGAATGCATGTCGTCTCCTGTCAACAACCGAAACTTCATGAAATACCAAGAAAAATCTGGTCACTTTTTAGACTCTCTAGACAAGAAACGAAGGTTATAGAAAAAGAGCGCACTTTACAATTCAAGAAACTCGAAGAACGTTCTCTATTCATCCTCTACTTCGTTATATATATGGGCCAACTATGATCTCAGAAAACCAGATCAAAGCAGCAAGAAAATCAAGAATCAAAGCGAAGCAAAAGTTAAGTCACTTGAAAGGCAACAAAGATGTCTCTAATTCCAAGCATTTTCGGAGGACGAAGATCAAACGTTTTCGATCCATTCTCACTAGACGCATGGGATCCATTGGAAGGATTCTTCACGCCTTCTTCTGCCTTAGCAAACGCATCCGCTCGTGACGTGGCAGCGTTTACAAGCGCAAGAGTGGACTGGAAGGAGACGCCGGAGGCACACGTGTTCAAAGCGGATTTACCGGGGCTGAAGAAGGAAGAAGTGAAGGTTGAGGTTGAAGACAAGAACATACTTCAGATTAGCGGAGAGAGGAGCAAAGAGAACGAAGAGAAGAACGACAAGTGGCACCGTTTGGAGAGGGCTAGTGGGAAGTTCATGAGGAGGTTTAGGTTGCCGGAGAATGCTAAGATGGAAGAAGTGAAGGCGACAATGGAGAATGGTGTGCTTACTGTTACGGTTCCAAAAGCGCCGGAGAAGAAGCCTGAAGTCAAGTCTATTGATATCTCCGGCTAAGTCATTGTCGGTGAAGGTGAAAAGATTGAAGATTTGGTGTGTGTGTGTGTAATAAAAAGCTTGTTTGCTTAAATGCTCGTGTTCTTTTGCTTTGTTGTGTTGTGAAATTGTCGCTTTTCCTTAAATCATTATGACTGTAAAATCTCTATAATGAATAAATTAATGTTTCTATAAATCACGGATGTTAGACTAGAACTCTTCTGCTATATTTCGATTTATCTCTCAAAAATCAGGAGAAACGATCAAAATAAGAAATATGAATAAAGAATATCTGAAAGCTTGATTAGATTTGACATCTCTTTCCTCCACAGATTTCCGAGATCATATGGGTCATCCAATGCGTTTAAGTTAAGATGGGCTCATAAATTATCGTTAAAAGAATAAGATGGGCTCATAAAGTAAAGTATGGTGTTGGGTTAGTAAGCTCATTCGAATCAACATGGCCTAGAAGTATATCGAGACCGACACTTGTTTTTGTAAACTGAATATGTAAATCACGTTACAGTTTTTAACGTGTTCGACTATTATTGATGTGACGACGCCTTTTCATGCCAAAATAGTCCCTGAGTCACAGTGATTCGAGACTTGTTAATTGTTAAACCATTTTTATAATGAAAAAATAATTATGTAAAATAAATTTAATATTCAGTATACAAATAATTCTAAACATGCCACATAATGAGGGCATTAGATGACTTTTACGTTTGTTTAGAATTATAACGTGAGGTTGCGTATCCCAAGTAGGCTAATAAAAAAAAGCATTAGTGAATAGATTCACGACGTTAAAAATTTATTGTATCATAATAATCGTGTGAACTCGTACCAACTTGGGAGTTATATATACCACCAAAATCACATTTAGTCAAACGACTCGGAACATCATTTGAAACTAAAATTTAACCATGACATGACTGTGATAGCTACTTTTATAATTTGTTCTTTTGCGTATATGTCTTTGTGCTAATAGATCTTCGATCGTTGGAAATAACCATCTTGTTTTCTTGTGTCGTTGATAATCACAAAGTTCCAAAAGAAGCGAATGATTGTTAATTTGTTATGACGAAAAGGAGAATTTAATCAATAATTTAACATATCTGTACACGTAGTAATGGAAAAAGAGATACGATACGATCATACATCACTTAAAACATACACCACAAAAAAAAAAACTAATATCGCTAATTTTTTATAACGAGATTTTCATTTTAATGGCTTCGCTCGCCGTGAGGTTTAACCGTAGTTGACGAACCGGTTCCGAATCCAGATCCGGATCCTTTTGTCGAGACACTCCCTGAGCCTCTGCTTCCAAAGTAAAGATCCGAGAGGTAATTTCCTATATCTTCAGGGGTATATCTGACAATAAACTCGTTATATCTATCTCCTACCAAACCGGCCCGGTTTATCTCGTAGAACTCGGTGCAAACCAGCATGAGTTTCTGACTCAACGTGATTTTGATGTGGTCCCTTAGTTTCGGGTCGGGTATGACCCATGATATCTGTTTCCGGTACGACGCTTCGAACTCATCGTTGAATCTGTTGAACAAATTCCTAGCCTCCTCCGGCGAGATCTCCTCCGCTGGATTTTCCGGTAATGCCGTCAGCACTTTCCCCCATGCTAGCTTCTCGAACTTATCTGCGTACTGTTTCACCTTCGCCTCGTGCCTCACCAGCCAATCGTCGCCGAGAAGGAGCTTCAGGTTCGACGATCGGACCTTAACGACGACGTATTGGAGATTGTTGGTGAGGAAGAGGTAAGATAGAGCGACGTCTTTGTACGGCTGAGCTTTGCCGTCGATTTTGCAGAGCGTGAGGAGAATCACCCAGGCAATTCGCACGGACACCGGAGACGAGTACAAGTCCTGAGGATGAGCCTCGTCGCCGCCGCTGATGAACAAGGACTCCGGCAAGGGAGACGGCACGCTTAGCTGCCAGTTCTCGAAGATGGCGGCGATCGATTCTCTGTAATCGGCGAGGAAGGAGAGGTAGTTCATGACGTAACGCGTGAGAGGGTGAACGCCGCCGCCGGTTATCGGCGTTTTGGAGGTTTCTTTCTGAATAGCCAACTCGAAATCCGTCATCATCAACCTAATGGCATCGCCGAGTCTGGCCAGCGAGTTGATCACCTGAGACCTAACGGCGGCGGCTGAATCGAAGTAGAAAATCGATTCGATCTCAACGAAGAGATTCGCGAGCGATTCGTACATGTCCAGGAATCGGAACATTTTCTCCGGGGTTAATTTCTTGATCTTCCCGGCATTCTCCGGGAAAGCAAAGAGCGTTAAGGCTCCTTCTTGTGTGATATCGGTGAAACAGGATTCGACAATGTTAGTGGAGGAGGAGAAAACGTGGTCGGCGAGAATCCTCTCGCCGAAGAAGAGAGACCGAACCGCTAATTTCACAGCTCGTACCCAGGATTTGATCTTGGACTCCAGAACCTCCCAGTCCATCTTCTGAATCTGATGCAGAGTCAATCTCTCCACCGCCAGATTGTGCAGCGTCTCGTCCACAATCGATCTCCGTACTTTTCTGTAAACCCCGACGCATTCCTTGGCGTACCCCGTGGAAATCATACAATCCGCAATCATCTTGAGGTCATCCATGGCGTCGGTATCTCCGCCGGAGAATCTATGATCGTCGGGGTTTTCCTCGTAAGTGCTTTCGTCGTCGGAATCGGAGACGACGCTGGTCGTCGCAGTCGAAGTGCTGAATCTGGAAGATCTGTATGAACGTACAGAGACGCATTCCGGATCCAGATACTGCCGGTTCTCCTTCAAGACGCGGTGAAACTCCGATTCGAGAAGCTTCATCGCCGATTGCATCAGATTCTGCGCATACACGAGCTTCTCCGAGGACGGATTCACGGAGACCAAACGGTGCATCGTGCTCTGCAAATGCGTAACGGCTTCCACGAACTCCTCCGCTTCGCGACGACTGTTGGTGGAAAAGAGGAATTCGTCGGAAGGAGAGGTCCATTTGGATATGACGGCGTTGATGCTGCTCATACACTCCTGCACAGCTGATTCGGCGAGCGATTGGTGAGCTGGTTGTTTCTCCGGTGGAGGAGATGATCGGAACAAGTGCTTCCCCATCGTTCTATCTTTTTTTCTGGTTTATCTCGAAATTCTGTTTGGTATATGCTCTGTTTATTTGGTTTGTAGCCTCTCCTTTTTAGTGTGAAGAAGAAGATACTTTAGTTTTTTTTTTTCCGTTACTCAACAAAAATAAATAGAAGCTTTTGGTTTGTCGTTGTTGTTTCTTTTGTTTGTAAAACAAAGTGAAGAAGATAAGAAGAGGAAGAGCTGTATATAAATATGTTGGTAAAGTAATATTATATTGATACGGACGGCTTTTTCAATGATATTATTCGCGTATGTGTATAGTTGCTATATGTACATGGACGTATATATTATGTGGAGGAGAAATGTTCATTAGTCAAACGCGGTGTCAAATACGACATGTGACATTGGTAAAGTCAGAGCTAAAAGGGTTAGTTCAGTCAATTCTGACGAAGTTCTACATTTATTTCCTTCATCTGCAGCTGTTAATTTTGCGAATTTACCGTTTCATAAGGACAAAAGTACTACTGTTAAATACAATAGTATGTTTTCGTTTAATTTTGTCATCCTAGTGTTAAATTGGAGTAATTTGTAATTATGTATGTAGTATTGAATGCACCAAAAATATCACAACAAGAATGCATAGAATTTACTACTCATGTACTATTAACTGAAATCTTTGGCTTTTTTATTGGTTGGTAAAGGCGCCATACAAATTCTCAATACCAAAAAAAAAAAAAACACTTTGGGATAGTAGTTGAACATCAAGTTTATATAAAAAAAATACTTAAACACTGAAAACTCTTGTGATACGAATTGAATTGTACTAATGTTGGTCCGTGTGTTATATATTAGACTGTTTCGCCAGCTATGTTTGCTTCGTTTGGTTTAATTTCTATGGTATTGCTTTTTTTTCCAACAAATCTAATGAATATAAAACAAATTGTTTGAAAATAACAAGCTTCTGTTAATTACCTTTCTACAGTACAACTACATCTGTTGGTTAGCTGCTTTCTACTATTTTGGGAAACGAAGATTGTGAGGAAGGTTCCCTGCTTTAAAAGATAAAAGTTGAACGAATGCTAAATTGCGTCCTGCCGCCACATAAATGAAATCCACAGTTTTCAAAAGTTCTTCAAAGATGCTAAACTCCTTTAATACGACTTCTAATTCTTAGTTTTCTCCATTTCTTAACTAAAATATGCTTACTATAAGTCTATAGGGTCGGCAGAGAACACAATACAAATTTTCCATCTAAATTCATCTATAATATAAACATATTTAAATAAAAAATATATCTAAGCAAAGATTTATATTTTAAATGGTTTTTTTTTTATAAAATATTTTTGGATCATAGCAAAAATCAGTTTATAATAGACTTTTGTTCAAAAGAAAAATTAGCTTATATTATTAAATCTGTAATTGTGGCCCAAACGAATTTTTTTTATTAGATTATATAAACTATTTTAATATTATAGTTTTCTGTTCTTAAAATTATTTAGGCTTGATTTTATATATAAAAAAAAAATTTGATTAGCAAATTTTTTGTTAAGTTTTGTAACAAATATTTTAAAATATTATATTTTATAATGCAAGAGAGATTTTATTTGTTTGTAATTAAGATTTTTAAGCTTTGTTTGTTTTTGCCTCCAAATACTTATTTGAATGCAAATGCTCTCAAATATTATTCTTTTAAATATTTTTAAATCATCATATGAATATTTTATCTAAATACAAATTCTATAATATTTCAAAAATTGGATATCTAAAATGCTAAAAAATAGAGATTTGATGCAGCATTTGAATCTCAAAAATTAACAAATAAAAATATCATTAATTAAAACCACAAAATCAAGTTTTTTTTGTCAAAACCATTTTTTTCTATCGAAATAAAAAGTCATATTTTCCCGCAAAATCGTAAAATCACGTTGTTGTATCAAAACCGAAAATTCTGATAGAACTGTAAAAATAACATTTTCCACTAAACCGTATTTTCTTGCCAAAACTATAAACCCACATTTTTTTAACAAAACCAAAAATTATGCTTTCTCCCAGCATCATAAAATCGTATTCTATGGCTAAATTTCTAAAACTAAGTAGTTTTTGTCGAACTTGCAAAATTGCATTTTGTCCTCAAACCCGCAAACCTGCATTTTCAATAAAATTCATAAAACCACATTTTCCACCAAATCTATAAAACCCGCAAAAACATGTAAACCTCGTAAAATTCGCAAAATCACATTTCCTGCCAAATCCACAAAACCCCGTATTTTTCCATAATTTTGTAAAATCCATAAAATTGTGTTTTACGACCAAATTTCTAAACTCATGTGTTTCTGTCAAACTCACAAACCCGTATTTTCTCGCTAAAACTTGTAAAACCCATAAAATCCGCAAAATTGCGTTATTCGCATTTCGCAAACCCGTATTTTTCTATAAACCTGTAAAATCTGCAAAATCGTGATTTACGACCAAATTTCAAAATTATGTGTTTTTGCTAAATCTACAAAAGCACATTTGTTGTCAAACCGGCATTTTCTCGGAAAACTATATTTTTCGCCAAAATTTATAAAACCTGCTAAAATTTATAAAACCCGTAAAATCTACAAAATTGTGTTTGTCAAATCCGCAAACCCATAATTTCCCGCAAAAAAATCATTAACAAACCAGAAAAACTAAATTATTTACATAAATATTTTTTTTCATAGTATGTAGATATGTAACCAAAAAATAATAATTATATATTTATTGTTGACTATAAATTTTCACATTTTTGTAAATACCATAATAATTTTTAATTTTTTTTAATGTAGTGCTTTTCTTTTAATACTATAGAGAAGAAATTAATTATAGTATAATATATATTTAATTTATCATATAATATATATTATTATATTAGTTATTCATGTTATATATATGTAGTAGTTATGCTAAGATATTATAAAAGATTTTAAAATAATTTTAAAAGTAAATTAATTTGAATTTTATTAGTATCAGATATGATTTATTAATATTATCTGTTAATAAACTAATGGAGTATAATTTAATTTAATGTATTTGTTAACAGTTTTATGATAAAACTAAATTATCTTTAATAAATCTATAAAAATTTAATAACATATATTGTAAATAACACATTAACTAAAGATTAATTTAAAAATAAGATTCTCTAGTATAGATTATCTTATTACGGTAAGACATATGTTCTCAATCCCAATCATGCATTTATCAATAAATACACACAATTTTTTTGTAGAAGCAAAACGTACATTTGATGATCAAAACTATGCAATTTTAACATCTTCCTAAACATTTCCACTGAAATTTCAATTATGATTAGTCACATAGTTTTTTGTAATATATAATTAATTAGATCTATGAAACTGTACTTAAAATGATATTGAATGGCAGTACTAATCAACCGACAATCCGTTAACTAAGAAAATCAACCGACAAGGCGATAATCGATTGAACTGGATTTACAAAATTCAGCGTGATGTAAATATGTAATCATATTCTTGAAGAACTATGTGAAGCTAGTTGCCACACCTAACGGAAAAATACAATAGTTTAATACTCCTATCTGTCGTGGAAAAGTAAAATAATTCTAAAAACAGGAGAGGACATTGAAAAAGAGAGAGAATCTTAAAGATGATTCAAAAAGTAACACGTGAGAGTCGAGTGGAACTTGCCGAATAGGAGGAGGGATAAAGCTAAAGTCACCATGCATTCCAAAACAATTACGTATGGTCCTCATTCTCAATGGCCCCTTGTGATTTGGAGTAGTCGCAGACAAGAACTCGAGAGCCGACCCACTTGCTTTCTTTCTTTCTTTTTAGAGCACTTAGTTTTTGTCTTTGTCCGATTTATAAATAGTTTAAAAGTTTGACCGTTTGTTTACAGGTCTATCCAAATAACCTGTTGAAATTTATGGATAGTTCATCAACGACTACTTGTTTATACGATAAATATCTCTTCCAAGTTCCAATGATTATTTTTTAGAGAAATCATTAGTCATTGCTAACGTTAGCAAAAACAATCCATCTCATCATCGCTATTATTATTCATTATCTGTGAGAAGTTGGCTCTGTCGTCAAATATTGTCATGACCTGAAAGAGTACTCATCTCTTGTTGTATAGTTTTAAATTTTGATCACCTTAACCATAAACCTACAGTTAATTTTTTGAACATGCATGATTTCTCAATTTTTCATGACAACATTTAAATTTAGTTAATCCTAAGTCCCGTGTACGTGTATATATTAGTTATATACTCACACTATACACAACAATTTTGAATCACATGAAACACATGCACATGAGCTTTATCGCGACTATGCAGTAAATGCACACATCCATCAATGTAATGAATAACACATATGTAGCCATATACGTAGGTATTTTATTTATGTAGGTAACACCTTCCTTATATACGTACCATTTGACTTTGATTTAGTCATTTTGATGAGTTAAACGAAACTACGAATCACGCAAAATGTTTTTTTTTTTTTGTTTCGTTTGGCTACAAAACACGTAAAATACTGCTTATAGAAACTTTCCGTTAATATTATTTATATATTTGAAGACCAAGAATATATATAAATTTCTGAATATGAAAACGTTTTGTGTTTAACGAATACGTGATGCAATACGACTTGTTTTCGAATATTTACTTTCGACTAAGGTGTGAATTTTGGACCTTTCAATTTGACGTCGTCTTCTGTTTACGACATAATAACTTCATAAAGAGAACGTTAACGTCTTCGGTCTTTTATCCAAATTAAAGAAACGTATTCGGTCTATTTTTAGTGTTTTTTGTTTCATTTCGGTTCCTGGAAGTAAAGTTTTCGACAGTTAACCAGCCAGTATGATTACCCGTTACAACAAAATTGTTAAAGAAATTTTCTTAAGGATTATCTATTCGTTTGAAGTATTCAAGTATGTGTAGAAATGAAGAATAGGTCCACATAATATATTAGACTGAAACTCTTCGGTGTCATCGCCTTAAAAGAAACATGTAAGAGAGGACCTTTTTATAATTAATGTTAAGTTGTTTACTAGATCAATTCTTCCCCGTTTTCTTTGAATCATTCTTCTGATGACGATGGCCAAAGTACATCTTTTTAAATGGTAGTTGAGTTACTGATTCTCAGTTGAAGAAAGAGTTACTTTGTATGTCCATAGCGAAATAGATTCTCTTTAAATCATCAAATTATATAATCACTTTTACTTAGCAACTCGACACTGTTAGATTACTCCACGACTACACCTGTTGAGAATCAATCTGATCTCTCAGTAGCTGCATCAGATGTCATCGGAACAGCATATGTATATATAGAGAGAACCAACAAAACTAAATAATATAAAAGATGAGAAAAGTACAGAGATCTCTGTATTAAGAATTCTAATATCAATTCCCTAACGATCCGTTTTTTGTTTTGTTTTAGAGGGTTACATCAAGAGGAAATATAAAACGTCCCAAAACTGGTTTTAAAGGTTCACACTTAAGAGCCCTCGGGCATTTCGTACTGAGGAAGTTCTGGAGGAGGAGGTTGCTTTTGTGATTTCTTGTTGTTGTTCAGTAAGTTCTTCGCGTATAAAGACCCGAAAACGATGACCTGATACAATGAAACTTAGGTTAGTTAGAGAATCTAAAGAATGTAATGGTTTAAGTTCTGAAGAAATGTAGAAGAATCGAAGATGTACCGATCCAATGCACTGCTCCCAGCTTAGCGGATGAGAGAACCAAATGCATGAGAGCATGATGCTTGCAAGCTTTGTTAGAAACAGACTGTGTTAGTCATGAAGACGGTTTAGTCGGATTGGGATGGGGTTTGTTGCTTTACCTGTCTCGTCGTCATGATTGCAGCGAATGTTAGAGCACCAAATGTCCTAATGGTGTAAGAAATGAAGAACTGGCTCGCTGTTGCAACCTGCACATTAGTCTCTGGTGAGCTCACTGGGAATTAAATGAGACAAGAAAGGAAGACTGTATCATGAATTGTCAACGAAGCTTTTTCGGATCACTAAATCATGGATTTGTTTGTGCAAACTAATCTCGAACTCTGTTTCATGAATTATGCATGCCTTCTTGTGGAACATGATATTGTAAGGATTAAGTAGAAGAACAGAGGAAACTGAAACTTACTGTAGAGAGTAGAGCGATGTCGAGTAGACAATCTCTATGCCGAGTAACAAAATCTACAGCTAGTAGTAAATGGCCTTGCAATACAAGTCCTACAAAAAAAAACAGAATGATGAGCAAAGAACATGATTGACCAGCTTGTGATCTTCTTTTTGAAGGTGTAAGCACCGAAGAAGCTTAGGACACGTTGCGGCTAATTACATGTTAATATCACTAACATCTGACACAGCTCCAGCCTAGTAAATTAGTAATCATCAGACTTAAACTTAAATCAGGTCTCGTTGCAGAGGTATAACAGCCAAAAAGAATAGAGCTAGGCTATAACCAAAAAAATAAATCTGGTCTTCTTTCTATAGAATCATCTTGTGGGAAAACGACCAACCCGAAACAAAAAAATCAATGGTCCTGTGTCCAGAGAACATGACAGTGACAGTAAAAGATGCAACTCTTACAGTAAAGATTGCAGCAACAAGTAAGAGTCTCACCAGTGAAACTCAGAACACAAGAACAAAGTGTTGTGTAGAATATTTGGTTATGTATCTCCATGTTGTATCCTTTAAAGAGTTTGTCTTGGAATGTGCTTGTAAAGCCATCAAACCTGTTAAGACAACCAAGATACACAATCATGATTCATGACTCTTGAGTAAGTAACAACAAAGTATCGAGATTCCTATCTTAAAGCCAGACAACAAAAACTCAGTATAATAATCGCAAGAACAGTGAAACGAGTAACATGGATACACATACCCAAGATAACCAGCCATAAGGGAAACACCCCAAACAGTATTTTCCCTTCCCTTATTGTACGGACTAACATCATCTCCTGCCTACAGCTCAGATTTACATAAACAAACGTCAGTGCATCTTACCTTGAAGTTCATGGTAACTGTGATATTGTAACTAACCAAAGCCTTGAAAAGACTGGGAAACTAGTATAGAGCAGGTTTATACCGGGAAAAGAATAAAGACAGAGCAGCCAAGGGTCACAAGAAAAGCCACTAAATAGTCAAAGCCTTTATACTTCTTCTGCATGATGACTGTTCCCCATACCTGTACAGAGCACAGAGATTTCAAAAAACGGTGATTCTAAACTGAAACGCATCTCTTACCAAAAAAAGGATGTTACAACTTACCATGACTGGTATCATTTTGGCACATTTTGCAAGAGTTTGGACTGGGAAGCTCACATACTTGAGAGCCTGGAGGCATTACAGATGGTAAAATCAATAGTTATAAAAGTAGACATATACAAAGTTCACAAAATTAAGAGTGTAGGTGAAAGATAATAAACCCCTACCTCATACTGGCATGTAGTGGTTAAGATGTTAGTCACTGATATAAGGCAATATTTGTAAACCGGAGCTACAGGATCCAAAACTTTCTTGCTTGCCTACAAATAGAGAATCAAAATGGAGTTCTTCAAACTTTGGCAATTAAGTATGAATATAAAACACAAAGTTGGGCTTTTTTTTTTCTGGTTTACCAGTAAAGCACCAGCAGAGACAGCTGATGTAGTGAGCCGATTGCAGAAAACCAGAAACAAAGAGTACTTAAAGAACTCCTTGTTCAATCCGTAAGGAACTCTCATTATCTTCTCCTACAAAAACAGAAGGACAAAAAACCCACAAAAGAAAGTTCAAATCTTTAATTAAATTTTCACAAAAGAATGGTATTCATGAAAAGAGAAAAGAAAAACAGACCTGAAGAACACCATAGATGACAAGAGTGGACATAATGCCGGAAACCGCGAAAACACCTTTCCATAATTTGTTCTCCTTCACTCCGTTTACTGTCTCCGGCTCAGCCATGGCCCATCCACCACCTCTTGATTATTACTTCGCTTCTTTCTGAAGAAGATAAAAACCTTCGCTCAAATTAACAACATAGTATATAATACAAAGCTCCGATTCGCAATGTAAGCGTGCGAAAGTACAGTGATTTCACCTTTTAAGCTCAGGACGACGAACGGATGCAATACAACGGTCGATCTGGAGAAATCGGAGAAATTTTAATCTCCTTCTGTAACAGATTAGCCGGATGAAATTCTCCGGCGACTCGATCCGATTTGCTCCACCGTCCTCCTCTCCTTTTCCTTGGAAATTTTTTAAAGTTCAGTACTTCGATGGGGTCTTCTTAGGATCCGCCACGTCAGCACTCGAAAAAGCGCATGTTTTGATTAAACAAGTTGAAGGTCAAAAGTCAAAACCTTCCATTTGAATCATAGGTTTCTGTTTAAAGGAATTCGAAAGTTTAAACTAAAACGTGTGGCCCCTGAGAAACACCAACTCGAAAGTCAGTAGTACGATGAGGATGGGTAATGACAAAACAAAAGAAAGAAGATAAAAGTCCTAATCTAAACTCGTGGTGGTGGTTTTTTCTTTCCGTGACATCCTTTGGAAAATGTCTGATTTTGATTTTCTAAATTTTGCATATTTTGGGTACGAAAACAAGTAAACAACCTAAAGGAGACGAAAAGCAGCGAACCGTACGAAGATATAGACTGTATATGTTTCCTTTTATGTTCTTATTATCCTCTTTGTTTCGTCCAATAGATGGATTCTGCTTTATCTCCTCGCATCTTTTTCGCACACAGCTTCATTAATTCAAGGTTCGATGAGCATTTTGTTTCCCCTTTGTTATGTCGTTTCTCGCTGTTAGTCTCACCTAAATAAACATTGGCTTCGTACTCGTATATAGATCGCCGAGGTTTGCTGCTGCTACTTGCTGGAGATTGGTTAAAAATGGGTCATGTTGGAAGATCAAGGCTACTGAAAATAGTGATCGCAACGTGTTCGATGAAAGTCCTCTCAGAGGAACCGATGGGTCTTTGTTTGATCCTGCTTCGTTCGAAACAGCTGACTCCGAAATCACGCCTGAGACTGTTGATTTCTTTGTGAGTGACGCAGAGGGTGATCCAGATTGTCCTACTCAAGGCTATTCCTCTATCGAATTTGCTCTTCAAGCTCTTCGCCAAGGAAAGGTTTGTTCTTGAAAAACCATTGATTAATTCTGTTTTTCCAGCTGTATAGATTCGGTCTTAGCACGTTTCTTTCTTTCTTATTAGTTTGTGATCGTTGTTGACGATGAAAACGGGGATGTTGAAGGGAATCTGATCATGGCGGCAACTCTAACGACTCCAAAAGACGTGGCCTTTCTGATTAAGAATGGTTCCGGGATCGTCTCAGTTGGGATGAAGAAAGGAGACCTCGAAAGATTAAACCTTACACTGATGTCACCTGAAATGGAAGATGAAGATTCCTCTGCACCAACTTTCACCATCACCGTGGTAAAAATATTGTCAAAATCAGATAGAGTTCTCAAGATGGTTTCCATTGCTTCTAAGTTTTTGATAAAGTTATTGGCTTCAGGATGCAAAATCAGGAACGTCAACAGGAGTATCAGCTTCAGACAGGGCGATGACGGTCCTTACGCTTTCGTCTCTCGAAGCTAAACCAGATGATTTCAGGAGGCCTGGTCATGTGTTCCCTCTCAAGTACAGAGACGGTGGAGTTTTGAGGAGAGCCGGTCACACTGAAGCGTCAGTTGATCTAATGATGTTGGCTGGTCTGCGTCCTGTCTCTGTTCTTTCAGCTATTCTTGATCAAGAAGATGGGTCTATGGCCTCGCTTTCCTATATGAAAAAGCTTGCTTCGGAACACGATATTGCCATCGTATCATTGACTGATCTAATCAGGTTAGAGAAGAGGAAATAAAAATGTATGGGGGAAGATAGAGAGCTCTGCTAAACTTTGGCTAGTTTGATGTACTCGTAGATATCGAAGAAAGCGAGAGAAGCTTGTGGAGAGAATCACGGTGTCTCGCTTGCCTACCAGATGGGGTCTTTTCGAAGCTTATTGCTATCGATCTAAACTCGATGGAACCGAAAATATTGCCCTCGTTAAGGTAAATTTAACATCACTTGCTTCTAAATATGTAAAAAAGAGTGTTGTTAGATCATAACTTAATCCATTTAGGAGTAAAGACCAGTCTTGTTTTGCTTCTGTCTGAAGGGAAGCATCGGAGACGGTCAGGATATTCTGGTACGAGTACATTCGGAGTGCTTAACCGGAGACATTTTCGGTTCGGGAAGGTGTGACTGTGGTAAACAGTTGGAGTTAGCGATGGAGCTAATCGAGAAAGAGGGAAGAGGAGTGGTTGTGTATCTCCGTGGCCACGAAGGAAGAGGCATTGGCCTTGGCCACAAGCTTAGAGCTTATAACTTGCAGGACGAAGGACACGACACTGTTCAGGCCAACGTTGAGCTTGGCCTAGCCATTGATGCTCGTGAATACGGCATCGGTGCTCAGGTCAGCCATATTGAATCAGTTCCGTTTTTGATGTTTTGATTTATATCTTTGCAAGTAAGTCAATCGCCACTGATATGCAATTGATGTAGATGCTCCGGGACATAGGAGTGAGAACAATGAAGCTGATGACGAATAATCCTGCGAAGTTCACCGGTCTGAAAGGCTACGGACTCGCCGTAGTTGGGCGTGTGCCGGTGGTGACACCAATCACCAAGGAGAACAGAAGATACATGGAGACCAAGCGCAAGAAGATGGGTCACGTTTATATCTCTGATATCGATCAGCCTTTGGCTTGACCATAATAAGCTTTTCATAAACTTGTCAATTATATACGCAGTTACACATACTCTGCCTTGATGTAAATCTCTGCTAGAATCCTTTCAGTTTGGGCTTTACATTCATCCCGGCCCAGTCATATATTTTGGATTCAGTTTATAAATACAATTTTGACAAATTTACCAATCGTCTTTGACAAATTTTGCTCAGTTTTCCTCTTTGTCTGTAAGAACAGTGAACATTTCAATCATATTCAATTTAGTCAGTATGAACTGAATATTTGAAACTCTGATTTTTCTTTTTAGACTCTTGAAAAGAAAAACAAATCGACTAAAATCTACATTTTTCAAATTTTTTTTTAATAAAAGTGGTGATGAACCCAAAAACAAAACATCATCCAGAACCAGACTTGATTCAAAAACCGAACCGGATCAAACCGGAGATGGAAGCATAAAGAAGGGACAAAATAATCAGCCAACTTAGAACTTACAATACTGTTCTGAGAAATCTTAGTAAAGTCGATTCACTACTCTAATCTCTGCCTCTTTCCGATTAACATTGTTTGTTCGATAACCGGATTCGAACCGAACCCAAGTCTCGTAACCGAACCAGAACACGTCAGAGAATCACATCGTCCCAACGCGCCGCTACTATTCACATCAGACCCTCTAAACGAGATAGGAGGAGGTAATTCAAAACGCTGCGATTGCGTTTTAGGCGGTGGGTTTACCCATTTTGGGAGCGGTCCCGCCATGAGAAGCGTTTGAAGAAGCGGTCCAGCTTCCACCACCGCTTTTAAAAGCCTCCCCGTTTCTGGAAAAGCTTTCCCCATCACGAGAACGTCTAGAGGATCGAGCTGATGATTATGAGCCGTCGGATCTTCGAGGATCATCGACGGCTGAGGATGATGAATGTTGAGGAAGCTGGAGAGTTCTGAGGAAGAAGGCGATGAAGAAGATTCATCACGAGAAAAGCTGTTTGATTCAGTGTTGCTTCTTGAATTAAGGTTTTGGGCTTGGATGAGAAATTGAGATAGTTGTTCTTTAGCTTCATCTCGTTCTTGTTGAGTGGATTTGAGGAGAGTGAGAAGTTGGTTGATTTCTTCTGCGTGTGTTCTTGATTTCTCACTGAGTTCTATTTTCAGTGTTTCTAGTTCGAACAGAGTGTTATGTAGATTCTGCCTCATCTCATCAGTGTTCTGCATCTCAAACATTGAAAACAACAATTAATATCGAAATGAATAAAGAAAAATGACGAGCTCCAAAGAAGAAGAAGACATATGTTTATACCTCATGATGAAACCAAATAGAAGAATATAAATTCTCCATTGATCAGTTTCTGTGTTTTGTTATTAAGAATGAGTGAATGACCCCTCCTTTATAATGATTTGTTTCGGACCTATAAATATATTTTTCATGACACGATCATTATTACAAACAAAAAATGTGAAAAGTTGCCTTTGGTAACAATAAACTGAATTGACTTGTTAATTACTTAATAACCCAATAATTACAGCAGATTCTCGTGAACAAACTTACAAAAAGATATGTAAATTCAGACAGGTCCAATTTAGGTCGCAGTATACACTTTTGTAATATATGCATTATTTTGTTTGTATGTAAACTGACGTAAACTTATAAAAATAGTTGTACAAGATTGGCTTGTGAACTGCCCGAGACATATATTTGATATTTTAATGACAATATTTTTTCCTATGATAAAAAAAAAAAGATATTATTTACATTAGCTAGCTTTAACTTAGATCGTACACTCTATTTCATTATTATGCAAATATTCTTTTACGCACATAAAATTCAAAACCACTATATTCAAAACATTTTTCATCGAGCTTCGTGGTATGAATTTCAATGTTTTTGTATACAAGAATTTCAATGCTGCACTACTTTCAAATATTATAATTCTCACTGAAACGGCTCACGGCTTACACTTTACTTTATGAGGTCACTCTTTTTAAAACACATATATACATAAACTTGGACTATTTATTCTTGTTACATTATAAATGATCTATTATGAGTTAAAAGCAAAATTATGATATGTTACTAGAAAGCAAACTTGAGTGGTATGCATGACATGTATATTTTTCCACAAATAAGACTTCAAAAACCTTATTAAAAATGATCCTTCGGTATAAAAATCGAATATATCTATTGAAATTATAGATAAGTGAATAAAGCACATACCATAAAATGACAAGGAGAAAAAAAAGACAGACTCCTAAAATCATAATCTATATACAGAACCCAACTAATAAACGTCTATATAGCAAATGTTACAAATTTTCTGTGAGCTATACTTATTTATTTACACTAATACTAGGTGGTTGGCCCGCACATATGTGCGGGTATAATTTTTTGATATACATAGTTAATTGTAATATTTAATGTTGATTAGTTTTTTAATATTGGTATGTTTGTATATATGCATTGTTTTAATATTTCACAAATTTCTTTCTGAAACCAATGTATTTTAAAACTTTTTATATTTATAATGTTTGTAATAATATATAATCAGAAATATAAAAGTTATGTTAAATAATAATTAAATTCTTATAATATTTTTTGAATTCTATAATATGCTTTATTTCTCCGTACATACACAATCTACGATATGCTTTTTGCGTCTTACATAATATGATTTTGCAAATACATATATAATATATTTAAGTATATATTTTTCTTGATTTATTGCAAATTAAACTGAAATAGTTTTTATCATTTTTACTTATTCCTAAGAGCGGATAGATGATTGGCACGCATGTGCGAGCATACCAACCACTTCACTACACTTATAATAGATAAAGATTTTTAAAAGTATAAATTGTATAATAATTAAAATAAAAATTAGACTGTAATCAATCTTAACAAAATACATACACGGAAAAGTTCGCATGTGACTTCAACTAATGTAGAATTAATATTTATGTATGTACGTGTATTTGTAAAAAAAATAAAATATGGCTATTACATGTTAAAAAGTTTTTAAGTGACTTTTTAAAACAAAGTGCGAAAGATTTACTTTTATATACTTTTATTTTTATTTCTGATTCATATTGTTTTATCTTATTATAATTTATTTTTTCGTTCGTCTATTTTTTATTTCATTTATTATCTCAAAATTTTTATATACAATGAAAATAACTTTATATATATATAGCTATTAGTTTTATTTAAAATATGATAAGAGATAAGATGAGATGGTAACATAAGTTATGTACTTTTTAGAAAAAAACAACAATAAAAAGATGATAAAAGTTATAGAAAAATATATGGTCCTATTAATATTATAAAATAATAATTAGTATATACTTTATTCAATAGTAAATATTGGTTTGAAAATATTTTTTTTTTTAATTATGTTTTTTTAAAACCATTTCAAGAAAAGTTAATTATTTTATTATTCTAACATTTTATTCTTTAAATTATTTTTATCATGATTGTATTTTATTTAAAATTTTATTATTTAATAATTTTATATTTAAAACTTGTTTAGATGTTATTAATATATTTTTTAAATTAATAACTTTTCGATATAAAAATATATCATACTTCAAGTATTATTAATAAATAAAAATTTTACTATTCTATTGGATCATTTAGTATTATTTTTTTGTTTTTATATAAAATTATAATATATATATATATTGTTGAAAAAAATTTATAATTATATTTTATGAAATTATAAATATATGTAAAAAATTAAAATTATAATAAATTTTATTTTCTGTTAATTTAAATTTATTAATTTTAGTGTTATAAATATAATCTAATTTATTTATGTTTTAATTCCACAACTATAATTTTAATTCAACCAATCAAAATATTTCGTTTATTTTAGGAAGTTTGATATGTCACATTTACATATCATTAATTAAAAGCACTAATTTTGGTTGTAGTGTTGACAAGTAAACTATTTTCAATAATGTTATTTACCAAATAATATGTAGTGGATTTTGATTGGCCTATCAACCTTATGGCTTATGGAACTCGTGATTTTGGCATTTTCTTGGACGGCACATAGCAACAGGTACAAGTCCATATATAGACAACACTCATCTTTCAAGACGTTGGACCGTAAATTGAAAAACTATTACACGAGTCTTCACTTTAGAACGATTCATCTAAAAGTCGACTTGACGATACTAAATGCTTTGACTACCAAATCGGCAAATCCAATCAATTTGAGTTTATCTCCAAATGTTTGTCACAAAATATATAATTAGGACCCTCCTATGTAATGAACAATTCGTTCCATATTTAGAATGGGCATGGTCCACAACAGTTGGCACTATTTGCTTTCTATCTCAACCATTTCTGCTGTCGGATGGTTCAGCTCCAACCATAATTGATTGACTATTAGAACGATTTAATTTCCGAAAATACGTTCGATCTTATTTTTTCGATTTTATCAATAAAGTTTTCAAACATGTTGAAAAAACAAACTAAACCTAAAACGTCTGTTTGAAATCGAATTTCTATATAGCTAGCTATATTCTGACTGTTTACCGCCGTCTAAAGGCTAAAGACCATCATCACATACTCTATTGGGCAGGACTAAACGAGGATAATAGTAACTTTTAACTTTTTACCTACTTTATTTTATTTTGTAAAATAGTTTTCTTAAAATTAATCAAATAAGGGTGTTATAAGGAATCAAATGTGAATCGAAATAACCACAATGGAGATGGTCTAGTTATGATCAATAATTACAACTTTAGTTATGATCATCGGTAGTTCCGGCCAATAAATAAGAACCTTTTTTCTGATAACTACTCTAAAATTAAAGTCGGTCCAAGGGTTTGAATAGTTTCTCTCTAGAATCTCTAATTAATGTTTTTGCAAAATCTAAAGATAGAGAGCACTTTTTCAATATTTATTGCGAACATACACATACCTTGAGGTGCACGAGTAGTTGACTGGTAATCAAAGCTGCAATAGAGGAAAGCATTTAAAATAGAAAGAAAATAATTGTTACGTCGACCAAAAATTACATAAATGAATTAGTTTTGACTGAAAACGAAAACTTGTTAAGTTATTCTGAATTTTGGGCTTTGTGATATGCTTCTATTACACCATTTTTCGAAAAGGCTAATGGGCCTTGTCGGCCCAGATATTAAAATATATATTATAAAGTTTTTAAAAAGCAAATTTCCTTAGTAATTCAATTCATTAATCCTTACGTGGTCTTCTCTAAACTGAAACTGCGTTTAGTCACAACGCAAAAACTTCTATCATAATTCAAAACAGTACGTACATCGGAGAAATTGCGTTTTGGGGATAAAGTAGTGCACAAACTCAAAGATAAGATGCATATATCTGAGGTCCTGAAGAGATGATTGGATGCGATGCAATTCACATTCTCTTTCTCTTGCCGTGATGCTTCTCTGATTTTCCGAGCTTGGACTTTCTTTGCTTGAACAGCTGAAGATAAAGCTTCAACCAAAGGAACGGGTAGACTAAGAGGATGGCCTGAGCAGACAGATCAAAATGGTTGGTTATTGGAAAGCTAATGAAGATGACTATGATATCTCAAAAAGAATTCACGATTATCTGAGACCAGGAAGATCATTTATCAATAGGGTTTTGTTGAAGGAGAGGAAGAAGAAGGAAGCGATGAACATACCCAAAGGAACTCGTAGTAACTGAAGGGGAAAACAGCGAAGAAATTTGCGTAAAGGTTCCTTTCTTTAACATGTGGAAGCGCTTTGTACATGATCAACACTGCAGAAACATGCTCAAAGTCAATACAGAAGAAATCTGGCTTCAGAGTACTACATATACAGCTTCAAAAATCACTCACATTCACCCATAAGCCCCGTTGGATAGATCACGATGAAACCTGTGTACCTGGATGGTAAAACATATTATGCAAACTCGAAAAACAAAAAAACTGTGATACGGAATGTGTTTCACATTCAAAGTAAAGTATGACGTAAGTACCTGAGATAGGTTAGCCAGTAAGGACATCTACCGAGGCAAGATGAAGCATAGTGAGGATATCTTATCATCTGCATTCAAATCCATCACTCAGCTAAACACATTCTCCTAAAATATTTAAAAGGTATACAACTAGTTGTATTCTATATAATAACATCATTATTCCACCTAGAAAGTGCTACATTCTGCTAAAAAAATTTCTCTCTCAATCTACTATAATCACTAGTAATGTATGTTCAACGGTCTCGCTGACATTCTCTCAGACCAGAAGAACATTGAGATAACATGTTTTCTTTTCAACTTTCACAAACTTGCCATTGGTGTTTCTCTGCCTTATTGTTGTAAAGACATGTGATGATCAATCAAACTCACCTCACCGAGACACCAAGCTACAAGTGTTATTGACAACCATGGCGAATCCTGGACCTAACAAGATGAATGTGAAAAATGGAATTACAATGCTGAAACTTGTTGCCGAGCTCTTTAGAGTAAAAACCACACAAACCTCATTGATCTGTCCAACAATTGCCAACACGAAGTGGGTTCTTCCACTCCATTGCATCAGCGGAGACAAGAATCCACTCGGGACAATTCCTTCAAATTCGAAGAGGATCAGAATTAATCAGTGTCTCGATTCATTATTCATTCCAAAAGGAAAAAAATTCACAAACATCAAAATCATTCCAAATGTAACCTATAGCTCCATGAACAACTTCAAGAACAGCAGCAGTTTGCATCACACCTGAACGAATCACAAAACCAACAGCAGATATCATTTTCAGAAATCATCAAAATCCAATTTTTGGCGTGGTTTTGGCAGAAATTTCTTCTCACTTATCAAGTATCCAGCAGAAGCGTAAGCGCCATTGATTGTCTTATGCGATAAGAAGCTGCTCACGATACTCAGAAGCGAAATCGTCCTGCCGAACAACAGAAAATCTCATTAATAAACGATGAAAAAGGTAATGGTGTGACAACGAGAAGACAGAGAGAGAGACAGAGGGAAAGAACCATGCGGAAGCTTGGAGAAAGTTGTAAGCAAAGAGATAAGACTTCACGAACGGCGACATCTTCGGTTATAAGTGGCCGATGCGGGGATATGAAAATCCGGCGAAGGATTGTAGAAAGACGGCGGCTCGAATTGTGTGGCTGCTCGTCTGAATAGCATTTTGACGGCGGATTAAGATTCGAGTGACGTCACATGTTTGTGTGGTTGTGAGTCATTCGTACAGTAAGTTGGTTAGCAAATTAAAGTTTCAGCTATTTAATTCCAGCTAGATTAAATATTTTCATACTTTACACTGAAGTTAACTCTGAAGTATATTTATCTAGTTTCAATGTAACCTCACACTATGTAAAATCGATTTGACATCCTTTTATAGTGTGACGTAAAGCGTAATTCTTGAGAATATTAATTCTAGTTTACAAAATTTTATGATTTTATCTTAATTTTTTTAATTCTAGTCCTTGTAGTTAGTCTCAACTTTAAGAATCAAAATTTTATGTTTTTATCTTAACCTTTACTTTTTGATGCGCGCGAAAGTTCAAAGTTCATAAATTTGTTACTTAAGATTGATTTTATCGTTAAACTGTTTGCTATCACTGTAATGAGTCATTATTTGATGATCTCTTGCTAATTTAAATTATACATGCACTCGCGTATACACCACCATTTTTTACATACTCTTCCAATAACTTTGGGTGAAAAGGGGGATAAGTCTTATTGGGCGTATGCTTATAATATTTATGAATGATTTGTGTTTGATTACCGACTTTAAGTAGTTGAGATTATTAGTCTGTGGTTGTGGATCTTATTTAATCCCTTCATTTGTTCTTGTTCTTGGTGGGGGCAAGATATTGAAGATTCTGTACATTACTAGCAAATCTGAGTCACCACAATCACGGATCCATCACCACAATCAAAGGAATCGTAATTTCAGTAATGCATATACTGTAATCTTTTTAGTTAGGCAACTGTTTTACTGCTCTCTATAATATAAAATCACATCGACATACTCTGCAATGATACACAGAAAATTCTCTTCTATTGCTTTCTCTTTTTCTGGTATTTTCACATGGTATCAGAGCTCTGAACAAGAAATTTGTTTTCTTGTCCGAATCGATCTATCGTTAACACTAAACGATAATGAATCTGACAAACACGAACTCGAACACTCAAGTGGAGACTGTTCGTCGAACAATCTCTCCTTACGATCTGACCGCTGCTGACAATTCCGGTGCTGTAATCTCAACAACTGAGGGTTCAGTTAGATTGGGTTCTGGTTTAGCACTGAAATCAGTTTACTATGTTGAAGATTTCAGATCTGATTTGATATCTGTTGGTCAGTTGATGGATGAAAATCATTGTGTTGTCCAGTTAGCTGATCACTTCCTTGTGGTTCAGGACTGCATTTCGAGGATGGTGATTGGAGCGGGTAGGAGAAGTGGAGGAACATTCTATTTTCAAAACACGGAGATGGCAGCGTCAGTCACAACGCAAGCGGAGAGAGCGTATGAGCTGTGGCATAATCGGATGGGTCATCCGTCTTCAAAAATAGTTTGTTCACTTCCGGATGTCCACGTTTCTGTTTCTTCTGAAATTTCAAATAAAGTGTGCGATGTATGTTTCCGCGCCAAGCAAACACGTGTTTCTTTTCCAATAAGTGAGAATAAAATATCGACTTTCTCCGACTTGATTCATTGTGATCTATGGGGTCCGTACCGAACTCCGTCGTATTCGGGTGCTCGATATTTTCTTACAATTGTGGACGATTACACACGCAGTGTTTGGCTATATCTCCTAAACGACAAAACAGAGGCTCCACTTCAGATCAAGAATTTCATATCCATGGTTGAAAATCAGTTTCAAACGACTATAAAAATAGTGCGTAGTGACAACGGATCCGAGTTCTTATGCCTCACTAAGTTTTTCAAAAGCAAAGGGATTATACATGAGACCTCATGTGTGGGCACACCACAACAGAACGGCAAAGTGGAGAGAAAACACAGGCATATACTAAATGTCGCTCGAGCTTTAAGGTTTCAAGCGAAGCTCCCAATTGATTTTTGGGGAGAATGCATCTTAACAGCAGCTTATTTGATCAACCGAACGCCAAGCTCAGTTCTTCATGGCCGTACTCCCTACGAGAAGCTGTATGGAAAGAGTCCATCATATGATCATTTAAGAGTATTCGGATCTCTTTGCTATGCACACAATCAAGGGCATAAAGGAGATAAATTCGCTTCTCGAAGTCGCAAGTGTGTATTCTTGGGTTATCCATACGGCAAGAAAGGATGGAGATTATTTGATTTGGAAGCTCAGGTTTTCTTTGTCTCACGCGATGTGCAGTTTTTTGAAACAGAGTTTCCGTATGCGACACAGCCATCGCTACTACAACATGACGAAGAGAAAGATGATTCACAATGGGCCACTTTTACACAAACCCCAATCATTGAGGAAGAGTTGTTTCAGCCAACAAATAGAAATGTTGTTGGGCCTGGTCCAGAAACAAACTCTAATGATGGGCCTGATCCAGTTACATTATTGGCTCCATCTGATATCGCAAGTTCCTCTTCAACTCCACCTTCATCTCCGATATCAACCCCGTATTCGACACCTACTCCGTCTCCGCCTTCATCTCTAACTCCGCCCCCGACACCAACTCCGTCTCCACCTCAGTCTCCATCACTGCCACCTCCTAATATGGTTGTGAATGATGGTGGTCACCTTGGGCGTGGTCTTCGGAAGAAACTCCCAAATGTTACTCTCAAGAATTTTGTCACAAATCGAGTTTTAAGCAAACCTCTTGAAGCACAAATTGGGAAATCAGCATACCCAATATCAAATTACATTGACAATCGTCGCTTCTCTGCCACTCACCAAGCGTACATGGCCGTGATAGCCACTAGCGTCGAACCAAAATCGTTTGCAAAAGCTATGGAAGACAAACGATGGAGAGCTGCAATGGGGACCGAGATTACAGCTCTTGAACAAAACAAGACATGGACTCTAGTAGATTTACCAAGAGGAAAGAAAGCAATCGGCTGCAAGTGGGTTTATAAACTCAAATACAAATCTGATGGCACGCTGGAACGGTACAAAGCTCGATTAGTGGTTCTTGGCAATAAACAAGTCGAAGGGGTCGATTATGAGGAAACATTTGCTCATGTTGCAAAGATGAACACAGTCCGACTATTTCTTAATGTTGCTGCAGGAAACAATTGGCCTGTTCATCAGATGGACGTTTATAATGCTTTTCTCCACGGAGATCTTGAGGAAGAGGTGTATATGAAATTGCCGCCGGGATTCACCTCCTCTGATAGCACCAAGGTTTGCCGACTGAACAAATCTCTATACGGATTGAAACAGGCACCTAGATGCTGGTTTGCTAAACTACAGACTGCTCTCAAAGAATACGGGTTTGCACAATCTCTATCTGATTATTCTTTGTTCACTTATACAAAATCTGATGTTCATCTCAACGTATTGGTCTATGTGGATGATATGATTATTTGTGGGAGTTCTCTCGATGTTATCACAACCTTCAAGACTTATCTCTCATCATGTTTTCACATGAAAGATCTCGGAGAACTGAAGTACCTCCTAGGGATAGAAGTAGCTCGAAACAAGACGGGTATCTATCTCAGTCAAAAGAAATACGCAATGGACATCATTGCTGAAACTGGAATGCTAGGATCAAAACCAGTAGCTTTCCCACTTGAACAGAATCACAAGCTTGCTCTCTCTGAATCGTCAAAACTAGATGACCCCGCACGATATCGTTGCTTGATTGGTCGTCTTATCTATCTTGCTGTGACACGTCCGGATCTTGCTTTCTGTGTTCATGTCCTTGCACAATTCATGCAAGAGCCTCGTGAAGAACATTGGCAGGCTGCGTTACGGACTGTTCGCTACCTCAAAGGATCTCCTGGTCAAGGTATTTTACTGCGCTCCGACACAGATTTTCAGATTGTGGGTTGGACAGATTCTGACTGGGCTAGTTGTCCATTAAGCCGACGTTCTGTAACTGGCTATTTTGTCCAAATTGGACAGTCTCCGGTGTCCTGGAAAACTCGCAAACAGAAGACAGTGAGTAGATCCTCCGCTGAAGCAGAATACAGGGCACTCGCTGATCTTACATCTGAACTTCTATGGCTCATCCGCATACTTCGATCGTTGGGTGTCTCTCACGATGGACCGATGCAGATAATGTGTGACAGCAAATCTGCTCTTCATATAGCCAACAACCTGGTTTTCCACGAGAGAACCAAACACATCGAGATAGACTGTCATTTTGTAAGGGATGAATGTCTCCTTAAAACGATCCGTCTCAGTCATGTTCCTACAGAAGCACAATTAGCCGACATCTTCACCAAACCCTTAGGACGTCAAGCTTTTGAATACTTCAGAGTCAATTTAGGAATTCACAACTTGCATGCTCCAACTTGAGGAGGGGTATTGAAGATTCTGTACATTACTAGCAAATCTGAGTCACCACAATCACGGATCCATCACCACAATCAAAGGAATCGTAATTTCAGTAATGCATATACTGTAATCTTCTTAGTTAGGCAACTGTTTTACTGCTCTCTGTAATATAAAATCACATCGACATACTCTGCAATGATACACAGAAAATTCTCTTCTACTGCTTTCTCTTTCTCTGGTATTTTCACACAAGATAAGCACGTAAAATCAGATTATGAAAGAAGTATATGCTTAATTTCCAACTAATTATCTATGCCTATTAAAAGATTCAGAATACTTGTTTGGTGAGAACCAGCCAGTCATTTCATAATGCATTTTTTTTCTTTTTCAATTCAACCCTCTTTTGTTTATATTAAGATGATTATCGATTAAGCTTCCTTGTCTTTTTCTTATATTGATAATAGTTGCTTGCATACTTTTAAGCAGCCATCCTTTTCTTCTTTTTCGTTTTTCCTTTTTTTTTTTCATTGAAATTTTAAACAATTTCTAAAGGAAAAGTTTGAAGGTGTAGTAGTAGTGGCTCATATTAAAGAAATAAAAAAGGATATCTTACCATAAAGGCTAAAGAGTGGGAACTGATCT